TTCTTTTTAGGAATTATTTCATTTGCTTTTTGAATTATAACATTTCTGAAAAAATTCCATTTTTCTTCTATATTGTCTTTAGTTGTACGACATTTTGATTATATTCACGATTATTCAATGAAAGATTACCCATCATAAGGAATATATTCTATTAATTTTTCATAATCAAATCTTCATTTAGCTGAGTATCTTGAATAAATTTGCTTATTATATTATTTGCACCTATTCATTTTAAAAATCATTCTTACTGATTATCCCTTTCTTTTATTACATTCTGCAGAATTTTCTGCGAATATTATGTAAAGCAGAAGTTTATTTTTTTTATTTTTAAATTACGTTTTAATGAGTTTTGCATTCATCTCATTACACAAAAGAATAAAGATAATTCCTTATACAAGATTAAATAATGTAAAAGTTAATTTTCTCAATAGTATTTATGTATGATATTCCTTTATTTATGTCATCAACATGATTGAAATTTAGCTATTTTTATTTTAACAGGTACAATATCATAAATTAAAATTTAATTTCAAGATTCAACTCCAATAAGTAACCAATTTCTTGTCATATAAAAAATGAAATTATTTTTTATTTTTAGCATCATTATTCCGGTCTTTATACTTATACTTTGTAATATAAAACCAGGTGTTGTCATTAATTACTTCTAGAAATATCTCTTTTGGTCAATTCTTAACAATTATACCATCGTGGTGTATTGGTTGATATTCAGGCTGATTACTAATGTTATCATCACTATCATTATAATTAAGAATTATTTATATTATATTTCTTTATTTTTAATTTATCTCTTTTATTTATTTTCTTTTTTCTTTTTTTTTCTTTTTTTCCCACAAAATTATTTCATTATTATTATTTGAACTATTCTAATTAAGATAATTATTATAATTCAAATATTATAAAAATTTATTATAATATAATTATTATTATTATTATTATTATAGGTCCAAATAGTTTTTGCTCGTTGGACAGAATTACAAATGGTCATACTAACTTATTAAATATAGAGAAAGGAATTGATAAACATGAATATGAATTAAAATCAAAGTAAATTTATATATAAAAAAAAATATGAATTAAATGGATCATCTAAAGTAATCGTTGGCGAAATGGCGGAAGTGAAGTTGGTGTTATTGGTATAGGTGGAGTAAGTATTCCAAGAGAAGACGAACAAATAATAGCAGTGAAATTAATAAAAGTTAGATAAAATCTGTATTAGTAGCAATAGGAATAGTGAAAGTCTAACAGGAGTAGAGGGTAAGGTAAATTCTTTCATTATTTAATTATCATCAATATCAATATCATTACTTCCGTTAATTTTTAATTATGAATATGCGAACAGATTGTCATTAATATTCCAAAAAAATTACTAGATAAAAACATTACAAAAATAAGTACAATAATACCAGAGAAAACTATTTGTAGAACAAAAAATGATCCTAATAGTTACAAAAAGAAATGAATCTACCAAAAGAATTTGACACAAATCTAAAAAATAAGAAGTTGGTAGAATACCTGCAAAATTGTTTTTTTTAAAAAAAAAAAAAAGAAAAGAAACAAGCAGATAGTAATTTGATTATTAAAAAACTATCTGTACAATCTTTGTAGACAAACAAAATAAAGGAACAAGCAGTTAGTGCACAAAAAGCTAAACATAAAAAACAAGCAGTTCGTAGCTCGCTTGCACAATAGACCACCTGCTCAAACTTCGCCGATAAACTAAATGAGCAGTAGTATTACATTTCACAATAAAATACCTGCCAAAATATTACCCAAGCAGTAGGTGAAGCAATAAAACAAAGAAATAACCTTTACTGAAAAAAGCAGTAAATATTTCACTTACATAATAAATGCCCACCTTCAAAATATTTGGATATACTGTATGTTAAAAACTATTATTTTCATAACTGATGAAAAAATTGTTTTATAGAATTGGTCACTTCAGATGACAAACCTTTTTTTCAGAAACATAAAAATAACTTAATAATTACATCATAGTAATAAATTCTCACTATGCAAATATGCTCTATTTGTCAAGTCGTTTTATCATAAAACGATTATTAAATATATTATATTGAATAAATTAATTGATATTAAATCAACAAAATAATGATAAATATAGAACAATAAATAAAATCACTTGTAATTACAATACAGCTTTTTTTAACTATTAGTCATATCATCTATTACATTATTTCTAATCTTTATTATTATTGATTAATTGATGTAATAATAATTTATGTTTATGATGCTTCCCTCCCCCACATTAAAAAAAATGGTTCATATATATAGTCGAGAAGATCAGTTATTATGCGATGCGAATTTAGAACCAAGACATTAATGAAAACTGAACTAAGAAGATAATGAGAAGGATCATTTAAATGAGAAATTAAGAATAATATTTATAACAAACTTATATTCAATTCCATTATTGTATCTCAGCAAGTTTAATTAATATTTACATTTTGTTTAATAACTGTAATGAAGCAAATATTTTTAATATCATTTTAAGTTAACAGTGCCAAGAACAATAAATCGCCAAAAATGAATAATTATTTCACATATCAAATTGAATAATAACTTTAAATACAGTGACCTTTTTATTTCTTCCTTTACAGCACCGCCCTCAACAGAATTTTCTCAAACTTTCGGCATAAATTACTGTATGTAAATTTAATTTGTGCAACAACAAGAGTTATGTGACTTTATATTTTTCACTAGCGAATGATTTATTAATTATTCTGTGCACTTATGTATTTATCGATTGATACTTCTATTCCATGATAACTATTAATTTGAATAGATGTATTCTATGTTCTCACATGTCATGACGATGATATGCTTTAAAATATTTAGTTCTGTATCAAATCGAACTCCATATTATTCAATAACTTTAAAATTTTCGTGAAATCAGTCGCAGTCCTCTCATCTTACAATTATCTTTTTAATCTTCATCCTTTATAACACCCTAAATATCCATAAATAATCCATTATAATTTCAATAGTTTCAAGAGATTCTGGTACATTCTCAGCTATTTGACATAATAATTCATCTGCATCATCTTTTGATCACCCACTGTATATTTTCTAACCTATATTTAATTTTATTATATTAAATAATATGTCATTGTCATGTATGAAATTTGATAGGGTTTTGCTGACGGACATTGCATAGAAATTAAAATGTTCTCCGCTATGCTTCGAACAATAAAACTTTCTAATTTTTCAAATACTTTTGAGGCACCAGATAACTTGAGAATCGAAACAATAAAATCCCTATAATTATTATAATTATCCAACTTTCTTAATCTCACCAATTTAAAATAGTCTAGAAATGAGCAACGATTTATTATTAAGTTGCATGAAATGAATTCATTTTTATTTTTGTCCAATATTATTCAAATTCTACACAATGACATATGTAATAACAAATGAAACCATTTAAACAAAACTTGTTAACAAACAATTTTTTCTCGAATTATATAATAAAATTTTATTTTTTTTTTTAAAAAAAAGAAAAATTATAAGTATTTGATATTTATAAATTTAAGAAGAAATAATTCTGCCCCTGAGTTGTGGTGGTATGGCTAAATAAATAAATAAACAAAAAAATTTTAATAATACAATAAATACAGCATTAAATTTTTA